CCTCTGTGGTCGCCTCGATAAATGTCGTTGATTCATTAAAAATCGCGACGCTCGCCTCGAAACGTTCTGGTGCTTTTACTGACCGACGGTCTCTAAGATTATACGTGTTAGCGCGATCAGTTTGTCTCGGTTCTTCCGTTTCGTCTGTTGGCTCTGAAGGATCGTTTTGTACATTTTCGACAGATGCGGGAACATTTTCAATTGGATTACCGATTCGAATGGACGTTTTCTCGGATCTGGTGTCTAACTTATCATCGGAAATTTCGTTAATTATGACATCTCTTGCCACTATAATTTTATTCGCCGATATATCGAAGAGCCGATAGTTAGCAGATTCGCCTTGATAGCCTACTAGAATTACTAGAATTAACTTTCGCGATTTGGAATCCTATTTCTTCCGGTGCTTTTTAGGCATGTGCGCGAACGCGTCACTATCAAATTTTCGTACGTGTGACAACTCAGGCTTTTTATTATGCCATAGTTCGAACGGGGTAATGTCTCGTGATTGCGTCGAAATGCAACGATTCAATACATACACGGCCGTGTTTACAGACTCGGCCCAAAGACGCGTCGATAGGTTTTTAGCGAGCAACATGGTGCGGGCGCACTCTACAATCGTTTTCATCTCCCTCTCCGCGCGACCGTTTTGTTCGTGAGTATATGGTGCTGATGTCTCAAGGGTAATTCCATGAAGGCCGAAATAGCTACACATTTTTTTGTTGCAAAATTCAGTGCCGTTATCAGTTCTGACGGTCTTAATCCGCGTCCCGAATTTATTGAAAATTAATTGTTCAAATTCTTTAAATTTTCCAAGATTTCGCTTTTATACTTTAAGAAAAAGACATGACGAAAGCTTGATTTGTCATCTTTAAAAAGCAAGAAATATCTCGCACCTCCAACTGATACCTCGGACATCGGACCGCATACGTCGGCATGAATAATTTGCCTACTCTTCTGTCGTGGTTATTTTTCTCCTTGGCCTTAAAAGATAGACGATGCTGTTTGCCCGATTGGCAGCTTTCACAGAAAAAACTATCGCTGTCGGACAATGAGACGCCATTAATTAAATTTTTCTTTATTATTTTGCGAAGGGATTGACAATTTATGTGGCCTAGACGTTCGTGCCATATCTTTAGGCTGTTGACACAAGCCGCGTTTGCTTCGGTCGCAAAATCAACTTTGATTAATAATCTAAACAAATTATTATTTTGCTTTATACCATAGGCCATAGTCGAGTTATCGCGAAGGATTGTAACATTATCCGACTCGAAATTCAAGACGTAACCTTTCGAAGTACAAACACCGGTCGAAAAGAGATTCCTGCGCATTGACGGGATATATAATACGTCTTCCAATTTACCGTTAAGCCACTTGCCACCAACGTACATTTTTATTAGAATTACGCCGCGTCCTCTAACTTCGCAGTTCAAATCGTCTACGAGACTTACAGATTTGCGGTAACTTTCGTCTAATTCGCAGAACCACTCGCGACGGAAACACATGTGCTTTGAAGCACCGCTGTCCAAAAGCCATACATCTTTCGAATTGTCTTGTAGCACACGCGACGCGAACTCAAAGTCGGGTACGATAAAAGCATCGAAATTCGCCGTGTTGTCGTCTTTCGTCGAATTGTCGGCTTCTCTCTTGTTTCGGGTGTCGCCGCGTTTCTTGTAGCATCTCTTTTCTATGTGACCTCTTTTATGACAATAACGACAAATAATTTCCTTTTTATCATTTTTCCTGGTACTTCCTTCTTCGGATTGTTGACGTCGCGCCCAGCGCCGCCCTTTTCGTGAATCTTGATTGCCGCCAGTGCGCTTGCTGCTTCCTCGAAGTTGTTAAGACGGTTTTTTTCTTTGAGAAGACGTTCGATGAGATTCTCTCGAGTTTGATTGGCCTCGCTGACGCTGTCCCAGGTTGTGATTAGTGGGCTGAATTTCTGCGGTAGAGTGCCGAAAATTTTTGCCATTATCATGACGTCGGATAGTTCCTCGCCTACGTCGTTTAATTGCCTGGCCATATTCTCGATTTTAGTGACGTGTTGCGCGACTGAGTCACTTGATGCCATCTTATATTCGTGGAATTTTGTCATCAAAGTTAATTTATTCGCAGCACTTTTTTGTTCGTGAATAGCACTTAACTTAGTTCACATTTCAGCCGCTTTTTCACAGGTTATCAAATATTCGAGTTGCGAATATTCCACTGCAGACGATAAAATGCACATGGCCTTGGCATTTTTCGCATTCCACGCTGCGTAGGTAGCCGCTGTAGGCTCGGGTTTCGGCGTTGTTCCGTTCACGATATCCAGAAGGCCGCTTGCCGTGAAAATGATTTTTATCTGGAATTTCCAGAGCTGGAAATTTGAGCCGTCGAATTTTGTCACGTTTTTGAGGTCGATTGAGTCTGCCATCGTGTCGAGGACTTTCACTTAGAAAGATATTAGACGTTCGCAAGAAAAAGGTACGTGGAAAGGCTTCAGAAAGCGAGGAAAATTCGGTGATCTTCGACGGCGTGTTCAGCGCCGCGCGAGAGAACAATGACCGCTTGTGCCTTAGCTCTCGAATTAATTACAACCTCACTTTTACGCATACACTGAGTTTCGGTTATTGACCGCGTTACCTGGGCCCATAACCTGTTGAAAGTTATGTGGGTAGGTCAAATAAACGATTTCTACAGTCGTAATTATAAAGGTTTTCACTCTTTAATGAAACTTTATCTCTCGTGCGCCGTACTTGCCGAACGTAACACAAGACAAGGCAATACTATACTAATCTCGTTCGTCTTTCGGCAGCAAAGGGAACAGGTGCCGGAGAGGGGGAATATAGCCAAAGTCAAGCGCGCTGCTTATACGAGCGTGCTATCGCGGGATATTATAGACTATATACTATATATATTAGAAAAAAATGTGAGAGCTTTGATTTATTTTAACATAATGATATGCGCAAGAAAGAATACGCTACATTTCTCATACGTGACTATAGACCAGGTAATATATTAAAATCTTTAAACTCTAGTAGACGAGAAACGATACAATAATTACGAGACGAGACTTTTATGCTACATTGGTATAAAGAAATCGCGGCGACTGTCGGCGTATCCGCGGGAGAGAGAGCCTCTCTTAATATGCGCGCGGGAGAAAACACGCGGTTGGTCGGGCGCCGGGATAAACTCCACGCGAAATAAATTTCTCAATTAATTCTCCCGTAATATCGCGAAATGACTCCGGTGAATATCTGATAACCGGCCACGGCCGTGACACGCGTCTTTCCCGAATAAGTTACCCACAAAAAATTTAGCGGCTTTACAAAGCTAGAGCCGTTTGTCTCACCGGTATCTGCGAGTCCTTTGATGCTTCGGCATCCGCAATCCGGAACCTCTGCTCTCGGTCACGCTCCGCCAAACAGTGACGAGCAAGAGGCCTGCCGGGATCACGCCGATAATAAATTGGGCATTTTCCACCCGTGGCGCTCCTTATCCTGGCAGGGCCGCCGGGCGTCCCGCGGGGCCCTGCGAATTCGCTTGAAGACAATTTTTCTCGCCGTTTCTCTTTTCTTCTGCATCGAATTCCGCTGTTCCTCTATATATTTCGCCGGGAAAAATCCTACGAGCGCGCCCCTTCGCTATCCCTTCAAAAATCCACCAGATCGATTGATTGATCGACTGTGAGATTTTGGATATCCGGGTAGGCTGAGGCAGTGTATCTCCCGCGTCTTTCGTTTTCGGGACTCTCTCGCCTCTCGCGAGAGAGTGGCCATCCCCGTCTTTTGCCGGAATCTATGCGAAAGAAGGAACATTTTATGGCGGTATCCAGGTTCTTAACGGGAGGAGCAATCCCGAAAATCTGTGAGTGAACAATATTTACCGGGCGTGATTCGGACGTGGTGGCCTCTGCTCGATCCGTAATCGTTCTCTTCGTCCTCTCCGTTCTTTTACTCTCTCTCTCTCTTTTGGCTTCTCCGGTTGAGACACGTACCCTATGCAAAATCGCTCGCCGAAAACGCAGAAATCGCTTAAACAAAAATTGTAAATAAAAGTAATTCGCGGAACGGATGCGCGGGGCGCATCCTCCTACGCGGAAGAAAACACAAAAATTATGTTTCGGGTGCTCTCTCTCTCTCAAAGGTTGGCGAGAGAGCAAAGGTTCCCGAATTTCCCGTCTTTCCGGCCGGGCCTTCGGCCCTTGTGACGGACAAAAAAAAAGTCACATCACAATATATATATATATATTGTTTCGACACAATAATGTAATAAAATTATATCCATTTTAAGATCACGTTGTATCGTCATGTTTAGTAATATTTGCTTCTAAAATTTAGTAAAGTCACGAACGGTAAATTCGAACGTCAAGCAAATATTGTCTGTAAATGTTATCGAGTTAAATTCTATGGATACTGTCCTCCGCGTTCTTATTTGCGCACCTTTTTGTTGTTTTCGCGCCGACTTCGCGTTCGTAATACAAAGGAGTCATGTGTCCTCTACATTTCTGTGTACACTCTCTCTTTATCTGTACATGAGATATTATAAATCTATCAAAACTGTTTGTCAACCCCCTCTTCATACTTGTTTGTCAAAATTCACGGCTTGCCGTCTGCGGACGGGTCAGTCGTCTCTCAGCGTTCGTAAAGAATAAATCGATATCCACGACAAGTTCTCCTCTAATTACTTTCCTAACAATCTCAAGATTTCGACGTCGCCAGTGCCGGATCACGCGTATTTCTCAACATTAAATTGGTCCTTCGAGCCGGAGCCGCGGATCGCGGGCGTAGTTTCGCGCTCTCTTTTAACCGAAATTCTCGAGATTTACGTAACTCTCGGAAAGTGAGTCGTCGCGTTTATCGATTCTCTATCTCTCACAGCTACTCGCATCTTTCTATACCGCGCGTGACAATAGTGTTGAATATCTCTCACCACGATCAAAGGTGACACATCAATCTCGTTCACAGTGCAACTGTGAATGTGTGCATTGACTCTCGAACTTCTCATCATCTATAATCGGCAGGATGACTCTCGAAGCCCTTCTCGATCGCCAGAATGAACTTTTCGGCCTCATCGCTCGCGCTTGCGAGAACCTACAAAAGCTCGGTCCTTCGAGGACCACCCGTGGTGCGGTGCAAAGTCGCTTAACAATTTTAAAGGCAAATTGGGAAAAATTCCAGGCTCAACACGAAAATCTATACAAGCTGAAATCGTCAGAATTAAAGAAGCTGGACTACGTTGTCGATAGGATCTACGAGCAATGCGAAGAGAAATTTGCCGAAGCGCAAGGCACTATGCTCACTATCCTCGACAGTTTTGAACCACCTCAACAGAACACGTCAGCCGAAACTTTTATGAACTCATCGTCCGCATCTCATTCTCGACGTTTGCCTCGCATCGATTTGCCGAAATTCAACGGCGAATATTCGCAGTGGAGTCATTTCAGAGATCTCTTTGCCTCTATGATCAACGCGAATACCGATCTCTCTGCTGTCGAAAAGCTTCATTATTTAAAGATGAGCCTATCGAATGAACCGGCTACTCTCTTGAAAGGCGTTGAGATATCAAGTGAAGGATTCAATCGCGCATGGGATACTCTCATTGACCGTTACGACAACAAGCGTATCCTGATAGAGGCTCAGCTCTCCGCTCTGTTTTCGATTCGCAAGGCGAAATCCGAATGTGCATCGGAAGTGAAACGCCTTCTCTGCGAATTGAAGGAAGCAATCGGAGCCCTCGCTACATTGGGCTGCCCAGTTCATCACTGGGACATCATTCTCACCTTTATGACAGTGCGCAAACTAGATGTCGAATCTGTTAAGGAGTGGGAAAAATCACTCGGAGCCACATCGCAACCACCATCGTTCGCCGACTTCGAGAAATTTCTTCTCGGTCGTATTCTCACTCTCGAAGCCTTTGAACGAACAACGAATTCTCGGAAACAAAACGCAAGTGCACCTCGATCTCCAGCTCACGCTCGGGCATATACCGCTACTGTGACTGATCAAAAGTGTGCGTTGTGTTCATCGGGACATTACATTGCCTCGTGTCCAAAGTATCTCGAAAAGACACCCATGCAGCGAAAGGAAGTAATAATTTCGAAAAATCTCTGCTTTAATTGTCTCGGGCCTCATCAGATAAAATCATGCCGCTCAACAAAACGCTGTCGTCTCTGCCACAAGCAACATCACTCCACGTTACATTATCAAGCCGGTAACGCAGCGATCGATGCATCAGCTGCACACTCAGACTCGTCGACGCCTGTCGTCAAGACAATCACATCGTCTCCGCCGGCAATTCATACTGCAGGTATTCCGCCACACGAATCTGTTGCTCCTCTACGGAATACCGAGCAAATCTCAAACTCCGTGACATCAAGTCACGTCGCTCAATCGCGGATAATCCGTCGCACTCCGGTTCTATTAGCCACAGCTCTCGTAAACGTAGTGTCATCAACCGGAGATATCTATCAAGTGCGCGCTCTTATCAATCAAGGATCGGAAGTCTCGTTTGTCTCGGAATCGGTCGCCCAATTATTAAAACTCTCGCGTCAAGCGGCGGCTATTCCGATTCTCGGCATCGGAGCTCATCGCTCAAGCATATCAAACGGACTCGTCTGTCTCAAAGTGATATCTCAAGTGCATAAAGACAGTTCTCTCGAAGTCGATGCTCTCGTACTGCCGAAATTAACGTCCTATCTGCCTCCCGCGCGTGTCGAATATATTCAGTGGCCGCACATACAAGGTCTCGAGCTCGCGGATCCAAACTTCGCCACGCCCGACAAAATCGATCTCATACTAAGTGTAACGGTGCACGCTCAAATACTCAAAGACGGTATTCGTCGAGGAAATATCGGCGAACCCATCGCTCAAGAAACGACTCTCGGATGGGTGCTATCAGGGCCCCTCTCAAATGATAATTCGAAGACCAACGCCATGGAAAACAACTCAGTCATCGGTATTCAGTGCTCTCTCGACTCTGAGCTCCTGGAGCTCCTTCAACGCTTCTGGACACAAGAGGAAATCGCGCCTGCCTCTCAAATCTCAATGTCTCCAGAAGAATCTCAGTGCGAAGAACATTTCAAAATGACTCATTCTCGCGACGTCAACGGACGATTTGTTGTACGCTTGCCTCTCAAGAAGAGTGTTAGTGAATTTGGTGACTCTCGCTCTATCGCACTCAAGGCGTTGTATCGCATGGAAAACCGATTCGAATCGAATCCATCGCTCAAAATCCAGTATATCGACTTTTTACGTGAGTATCGTTCTCTCGATCACATGCGTCCCGTCGCATCAAACCGCGCTCAATCTTGCGAGTTTTTTCTACCGCATCACGGTGTTACGCGTGAAACTAGCACGACAACAAAACTGCGCGTCGTGTTTAACGGATCGCAAAAAACAAATCTCGGCTTGTCGTTAAATGAGTGTCTCCTTGTTGGGCCGAAACTACAAACGGATCTCGCGGACATCCTCATCCGTTGGCGACGGCATCGATACGTGTTCGCGGCCGATATCGAGAAAATGTATCGGCAGATTCGCGTGCACGAGGATGATTGGCCGTTACAGAAAATTCTTTGGCGGGACTCTCTCGACGAAAGGCCTCAAGAATATGCATTGTGTACCGTAACGTACGGCCTCGCGTGTGCTCCATATCTCGCGCTACGCTGTTTACGGCAACTCGCTCTCGATTACGATTCGACTCGCCCTCACGCTTCCGAAACTCTTCGTCGCGACACATACGTCGATGATATTCTCTCCGGCGACGAAAGCATCTCTCAGGCGAAAGAAAAAATCTCGCAACTAAGAACCACTCTCACGGCGGGCGGCTTTACGCTCCGAAAATGGATCGCTAACGACTCAAATCTGCTCGACGATATCCCTGCCTGCGATCGCGAAACATCTCCTACGCTCTCGGTCAACGACAGTGCGATACATCATACTCTCGGTGTGCGTTGGGAACGCCAATCAGACAGTTTCGTGTTTTCTCCGCCGTCGCTCACGATCTCGAAAAATCGCGTTACAAAACGCTCAGTGCTATCGCTTATCGCACGCATGTTTGATCCACTCGGATGGATTACGCCTATCACAGTTACCGCAAAGCTGTTCATGCAAGAACTGTGGGCCATACGTCTCGACTGGGACGACGAACTCCCGGAAGATTTAAAGTCACGATGGACAAGCTACGTCGCTCAACTCACATGCATCTCTCGTCTCGCTATCTCGCGTTGGTTTGGAACAAGTGCTTCGAATCTCGCCGTGGAAGTGCACGGTTTCGCGGACGCATCTCAAAGTGCACTCGCCGCGGTCGTTTATCTCCGCGTTCTCAGTGACATCGACGACGCTCAAATAAAACTCATTTGCTCAAAGACTAAAGTTGCCCCTCTCAAACGAATGACTATACCGCGTCTCGAACTCTCAGCCGCAGTGCTGCTCGTGCGTCAAGTTCTCAAAATTCGCGAAGTGCTTGAACTACAAACCGCGCCAACCCATCTCTGGACCGATTCGACGGTCGCTCTTACGTGGATCAAAAGTCATCCATCCCGGTGGAAAGACTTCGTACGGAATCGTGTCTCCTTTATTCAAGAGCTCTCAAACTCTAGATGGCATCACGTCTCCGGGAAGGAGAATCCCGCTGATCTAGCATCACGAGGCGTGACTCCTCAACGTCTTCAACAAAACGAACTCTGGTGGATCGGTCCTCATTGGTTACATACGCATTCGACATCTTGGCCGTCTTCAATTCCGATTCTCGAGTCTACGGACAACCTCGAAGAACGGCCTCCGCAGTGTACAACTGCATTGGAAAATCATGAACATAAACTTTCGATGCTCGATCGATACTCATCGCTGACGACCCTCATCAGAACTACCGCCTGGGTCAAGCGTGCTCTTCAACTCTTTCGGAAATCTGTCGCATCACGCTCATCTCACGAGCCTCTCACCGTCGAAGAGTTAGAATCAGCGCTAATGCTGTGGGTTAAACTCACGCAGCAAATTTACTTCTCATCCGAAATCAAAACCTTGAAGAGCCAACGATCACTCTCAACCTCGAGCTCTCTCTATCGTCTAACGCCATTCCTCGACAGCGAAGGACTTTTGCGTTTACGCGGACGTTTATTCCGGTCACAACTAGATCCAGAAGAAAAACATCCTCTGATCTTACCTCGAAAATGTCGCTTATCCATTCTCGTGATGGATTATCATCATCGAAAGACTCTCCACGGCGGACCGCAGTTAACGTTATCATCGATTCGTCAAAGGTTTTGGATTATCGGCGGTCGCGTTCCTATCAGAGCATTCATCCACAAGTGCGTGATTTGTGCTCGTCATCGTGCTACTACTGGTCAACAAGCTGTAGGACAGCTTCCAGCATCACGAGTCGTTCCGCGCCGACCGTTCTTCAACTCTGGAGTCGATTATGCCGGGCCACTGACTCTCAAAACTTTTCGCGGACGAGGCTGCAGAACGTACAAGGGATATTTCATCATTTTCGTTTGTTTCAGTACGTCTGCGATACATCTGGAAGTCGCGACTGACTATTCTACGGACGGCTTTCTGGCGGCGTTCAGGCGATTTACCGGACGGCGAGGCATATGCTCTACTCTGACTAGTGATTGTGGCACGAATTTGATCGGTGCCGACGCAGAACTCAAACGGATGTTCACGGCATCTTCTCGCAAGTGGGCTCACATCGCTAACATTCTCGCAAATGACGGAGTGAAGTGGAGTTTTAATCCACCCTCCGCCCCCCATTTTGGAGGAAAATGGGAAGCTGGGGTGAAATCCGTCAAATTTCACTTGCGGCGAGTTCTCGGCGACGCTCGCCTTACCTATGAAGAACTGACAACGCTCTTAGTGCAAATCGAGGCGATTCTGAACTCTCGCCCGCTCACTGCACTCTCAGATGATCCGTCGGACCCTACCGCTCTCACGCCTGGGCACTTTCTCGTCGGGTCCACTCTCGCTACCGTGCCGGAACCTTCGCTTCAAGAGGTACCTCAAAACCGGTTGTAACGACCTATTAATGGTCGTTACTAAGTGCGCCGGGCCGAACACCTGCCCGACGCTCCTGGCCGACCATCCGCCGGGCGCGTGATCCATCCCCTCCGGCGGGATGCCCAACACGTGACAGTAAGCACGTGGGGGGACCCGCACCGGTATATAAGCCGGCTCGTCCGAAGAGCCGGCACCAGTCCTGTCCTGAATCCTGATCCTGACACCAAGCCTCTGGGTGTACTCGAGGCTTCCAAGACCAAGATTCCTGACAGTCGACGAAGACGGGTGTACCCTCTTCGCTGCCTGGGAGTTCCCGGCGTTCGACTTCCTTCTCTCCAACCGACGGAGGTGGGTTTAACCCCTTCGCTGCCTGGGAGTACCCGGCGTTCGGTTCCTTTCCCTCCAACCGACGGAGGTGGGTTTAACCCCTTCGCTGCCTGGGAGTACCCGGCGTTCGGTTCCTTTCTCTACGACCGACGAAGGTGGGTTTAACCCCTTCGTTGCCTGGGAGTGCCCGGCATTCGGTCTCCTGTGTCCGGCCGACGGAGGTGGGTTTGACCCCTTCGCTGCCTGGGGGTACCCGGCATTCGGCTCCTTCTCTCCGGTCGGCAGAGGCGGGCGTGCCCCCTCTGACGCCAGGGTGTACCCGGCATCCGACTCTCCCGCAGCGCGCCGTGCCGCCGCCCGCGGCCCCGCAAACGCGAGATCGTTCGTCCGTCCGCGCATTTATATATAAGTTTGTGTGACTGTCCGCTAGACTAAGTGTATATATCAAGTGTAAGTAATCATTGAATAAACCTTTTGTGACTTTGAAACCGTGTACGCAAGTTTGGCCTTCCGATTCCGAATCCTGGTTCCGGCGAGCCGTCCGAGGCTAACCGAAATCCGCACCGTTACATGGCGCCCGAACAGGGACACTGACGCACGGTAGGCCCAGCTCGCGTATCACCGAATGAGCAGTGCGTGGGTGCATTCGCTCACCAAAGACCAGATCCTCCAGGAGCTGGAGCAACGCCACCTTGACTCGACCGCCCCGCTGGACACGCTGAGGAAACGCCTGCGAAGACACATGAGTAAGTATCCAGAAAGCATGCCGGGGACTAGCACACAGCAGAAGCCCGTCAACTTGATCCCACCGACCATCATCATACCAGGGGTCGACCAGATGTCCGACGAGGATGATAGTGGTAGCGAGAACACGGTAAGCCGTCGACCGTCTCGACCCCACCAAGATCTGCCGGCACTCGACCGAATGAAAACAATGAACCAGATTCGAAAGTGGGGTCACTTCTTCGATGGCAAAGATCCCCTTGCCTTTCTGGAGCGAACGGAGGAACTCCGAGCCAGCTACGGCCTCGACCCCGTCCAGCTAATCACCGGACTTCCGGAACTACTACGGGGCGACGCCCTACTCTGGTATCGGAACCATAACGAGGAATGGGATACCTGGGAACAATTTACTCAGGCGTTCCGTACCCATTTTCTACCGCCCGGATATCAGCGGCGGATGAGACGTGAGATACAAGGTCGACATCAACGACCCGGGGAAACGTTCCAGGCCTATTCAACGGCCGTATTGACCATGATGCGACGAGCCGGCGGATACACAACCCGAGACAAGGTCGAACAAATCTACGAGAATATGGACCCTGAGTACCAACTATACGTCCCGCTGACCGATCAGACCAGCCTCGGTGACCTGAGCACGAAGGCCGTCCAGTACGAGGCTATCATTCAGAGGCGAAGAGAGCGCAAGGCGGAGAGCCCCGCTCAGCCCAGGGCCACTATAGCCGCCGCCACATATAACCGAGAGGAGTGCTGCTGGCGCTGCAAACAACGGGGACACACTCGCCTAGAGTGCAAACGCCCCCCCAGAAAATTCTGCTCCCGATGCGGCAAGGACGGGGTACTTACCCGGGATTGTCATCCACCGTCGGGAAACGCCGCCCGGACCGGGAACGTAGCGGCCGTAGGCCGGTCCAGCACGGAATAGAGTACGACCCCAGGCCGCACCTACGCGTACAGATACGTCAAACAGAGGTCCGAGCCCTATTGGACTCCGGATCCGAAATGTCCTTCATGGACAAAGAAACCGCTCGACAACACCAGATACCGATTCAATCCCTCGGCACAGGCGGGAACACGGTGCGGCTGGCCGACGAGACCACCACAAACATCATCGGCACTGTCCGCCTAAGATTCCGAATCCAAGGGCGGCCCTGTCGCCACAGATTCGCGGTGCTGCCTAGACTCAGCAGCCCGATTCTGATAGGCATCGACCTGTGGGCTAAGCTGGGGATCGGCCTGACAACAACTAACACACGCCGGGCCACACAACGAACCACCGTTAACGCCAACATCACCGCCTTGAGCACCGGAGCGACCGATGAGCACACCCGACTGCAAGCCTTCCTAGCCACCGAGTTGCCCCTCTTCGATACCATCCGGGGCCCCACCGATCGGGCCGAACATCACATCCGCCTGAAACCCGGCCCGCCAATCAAACAACGATACCGACCACGGAACCCGGCCATGCAACGAGTGATCGACCAGGAAGTCGAGGAAATGCTGAAAGAGGGGGTCATCGAACCCTCCGCAAGCGGATGGAGCTCGCCGGTAGTCATTGTCCGAAAGAAGGACGGAACTCACCGCTTCTGCATCGACTACCGGAAGCTCAACGCGGCATCCGAAAAAGACGCCTACCCGCTACCTCACATCACCGCCACACTCGATAAATTACGAGGGGCCCAATACTTGTCTACCCTCGATCTGAAAAGCGGGTATTGGCAGATTCCGCTAACCAAGGCAAGTCGGCCAGCTACAGCCTTCACCGTACCCGGCAAAGGGCTGTACCAGTTTACGGTCATGCCATTCGGCCTCCACTCCGCTCCGGCCACGTTCCAACGGCTCCTCGATACAGTCCTGGGCCCGGATTTGGAGCCCCACGTGTTGGTCTATTTAGACGACATCGTGATCGCCAGCCGTACGTTTGAAGATCACCTCCAACATCTGCGCGAGGTTTTCCGACGCTTGAGGGGTGCCAGACTACGCCTAAATATCGAAAAATGTCACTTCAGCCGAAGCAGCCTCAAGTACCTGGGACACGTTATCGACCGACGGGGCATCCAGACCGACCCGGGCAAGGTCAGCGCCATCACGGGGTGGCCCGTCCCCACCACGCTCCGTCGAGTCCGCCAGTTCTTGGGAATGGCCTCGTGGTACCGCAGGTTCATCCCCGAATTCTCCACCGTGGCCGCACCCCTCACGAACCTCACGAAGAAAAACGCGCGATGGGCCTGGGGAGAACTAGAAGAACAAGCCTTCCGACGGCTCAAGGAGGCTCTAACAACCGCGCCAGTGCTCGCCTGCCCGGACTTTAGTCACCCCTTCCTCTTACAAACGGACGCCAGCTCACACGGACTAGGGGCCGTCCTCACGCAGGAATTTGAGGAAGGAGAGCGCGTCATCGCTTACGCCAGCCGAACACTTAATCCCGCCGAACGCAATTACAGTGCCACCGAATTAGAGTGTCTAGCCGTAGTGTGGGGAATCCGGAGAATGCGAGACTACCTGGAGGGGTATCGGTTCACCGTAATCACGGACCACCAGGCGTTAAAGTGGCTACAGCAGCTCGAGGCTCCCACCGGTCGACTAGGCCGCTGGGTATTCGAGCTGCAACAATTCGACTTCGAGATCAAGTACCGTCGGGGGACACAGAACCAAGTAGCCGATGCGCTCTCGCGAGAACCACAGCTCAGCGCCATCATCAACCAACCAACATGTCCCTGGTACAACCGGATACGAGCCCAGGTAGAAGCGGAACCGGAGACCAGTCCAGACTACGAGATTCGCGATGGGCAGCTATATCGCCACGTACTGCACGACCTGGACTTCCGGCACACACCTCCGGGGGAACAATGGAAGAGATGCGTGCCACGCGACCAACGATCCGAAGTCTTGCGGCGGCTACACGACGAGCCCACAGCGGGACACTTAGGGGTGGCCAAGACCATCGCCCGGGCCGCCCAGTTGTACTATTGGCCCGGTATGTTCCGGGAAATCGCGCGATACGTGCGCCGATGCCCAAACTGCCAGGCGTATAAAGTGTCGCAACGACGACCGGCCGGTCTCCTTCACGCCACCCCCGTCACGGCACCAGGACAGCAGGTCTCCGTAGATCTGGTGGGACCCTTGCCGAGATCCCGACGAGGACACACCTGGCTCCTTACGGCCCAGGACCGATTCAGCAAATGGCTGGAGCTTATTCCTCTCCGGAAGGCAACGGCGCGACAGTTGGCCGAAGGAATCACCACGCGGGTCATCTATCGTCACGGCTGCCCCGCACAGATACACTCAGACAACGGAACGCAATTCACGTCCAGGGAATTCAAACAACTATTGGCAGAGTTCGGGATAGAGCATCGCACCTCCCCGGTATACGCACCCCATTGCAACCCGGTGGAACGAGCCAATAGAACCATAAAGACCATGCTCGCCCAGTACGCCGGAGAACACCACCAGGACTGGGATGGCCACCTGGACGCACTACAGTTCGCCATTAACACCGCCCGCCACGAGGCCACGGGATATACACCAGCATACATCACTCACGGAAGAGAGCTAGCCCGGCCTTACGTGGCGGACCGATTCGAACCGAACGAGCAAGAACCGGGGCAACGCAGCCGGCAGCTACAGGAGGCCTTCGAGCTTGTCCGCGTTCACCTGGCCCGCGCGTTCCAGAAACAGGAGAGGCACTATAATCTCCGACGCCGTGAATGGCGCCCGCAACCAGGAGACCAGGTGTGGAAACGAGACCGACATCTCTCACGGAAGAGCGAGGCGTTCAACGCGAAACTCGCCCCTAAGTTTAGCGGGCCAATGGAAGTTCGCCGCCTCATTTCACCAGTCATCGTAGACCTCCGGGATGCACGCGGCAAGTGGCACCGTCACGTGCATATCCAGGACCTGAAACCGGCCGAAGCGAGGGAAACAGCCGACGAATACGACGCAGGGAGTGA